TGCGGACAGACACTGCAGATCGTTCAGATTTACAGCTGGGGTGTGAGTGAGGTTGGGTGAGTAGTGAATCTCAAACAGCAGATCATTTTCTCAATAACTGAAGTATCAAAAAGGCTTCTGAAACATAAAATTAATGGTTTGCAAACCGTTAAAGAAGCATGAATTTAATTAATACATTACTTTTAACTTTTCTCTAAAAATAAAAATGCGTACATTTCCACCAATTCTACAGACAGTTGCCCTAAATCTGGAATACCACGTACAGTCATATTTCCAAAGAAATTAATAAAAAATATATATATATTTCAGTTAACCAAATGAAACAATTGTAAGTTAATTACACATAGACTGATGTTTTCAAGACTTTATTTCTGTCAGTTTTAAGAATTTTCTATTTACAGAAACTTACAAAACATGTTAAGATTATACTGCTAAATGAGAGTAAAATGTTATTAAAAACAACATTTTTAATACGCACGTGGTCTTCATAAAAACCATGTGCAAAACCTGCATAAAAGTTATTGTAAAGAGGCACTTTTACTTCTAATATGACAAAAGCCTTATTGGAACATTATTTGAATGTGACTAAATAAACATGTAACTATTACCTATTTTTATATTTGTATCTATATCTTATTTTACATTGAAATTTTATTATAAATTTGAGGAAGTACATGAAGAGATTTAAATAATAATTGGATTGAGTTAGACTGTCCAATACCAGAATATTTTTCACTAGAGCCAGATCTATATATATCAACAAAAGTCCAAAATCACTGTACTTGTTATAGTGTTTAACAATTCAGTTATCTTGTTTAATGTGATTTCACTAATTTGGGCTCACAGTGATGAATTCCAGGTCTGATGCTTGCCATAATTAATTTTCCTAAATCTGTCTGTGTATGTATGAACCCACTCTGCAGTGATGAGATAAACTAGAGCAGGGATTGGATCAGCAGTTATAAAAATACCACATATTTTATTTATCCAAAAACTCAATTCTGTTATTATGAAAGTCTATTATTAGCATGAGATGTGGTTAAAACCTGAGAAGTGTTAAGTGATGGATTTTCTCATTAAAATTGAAATTGAAGATACACTTTAACCCAAGAGTCCTTCTACATAATCCACTGCAGATAATTGAGAATCTTGTGATGTGTGTATGTACATGCATGTGTGTCACAAAACTGTGCTACTTATGGGTTAGGATTTTTATGTTCAAGGGTTGATTCCATATACGTTTGCTGAACCCAATTGGGGCACCACCATAGCAACCAGTGAGTCAGTTTCTGATTTCCCAGTTTTGTATCACAGTCCTTTACTAAAAGCATTGCTGAAGTGCCTCAGGTTCAGCTTACTGTCATCTTAAAACTAACCCCATACTGAGACCGCTCAACACTGTGGTCTTGCAGGCTTCTGAATTTTAAAAACTTTGGCTGTGCTATAGGAAGAGATTTTTTGTTAAATATATTCAATGGGGAGCAACATTTGGTGTCCAAATGCTTCTGTATTAATGGTTTAACCTCAAGAAGGTACAGGTACTATTACAAATATTTATGAAACCTTTTAAAAGACTTCACAGCCAAAACTAAGTTTGATTTCTTTTTGTAGTTACATTCATTGCTGTACAACTTCTTCTGCATCATTTTTGTTGGTCGTGACACCTAGCATTGAGGAGAAAGATTACAGAAAGTTTTATTTTTTAAATTTTTGGCAAACTTAAGACTGGCCTTTGTTTTGCACATCAGTGACTCTGGTTAATATTGTTTAAGCTTAAACCTGCGCCGAGTATCCATTAGCAGCATTGATATAGGCGATACTGGCCTTCGCTCAGGGAGCCATAGCATGGAGGAGCACTGCAGAAACTTGAGCAAAGTCTCTTTTCATTTGTGCCCCAAACACCTTTTTTATTGTTCAATACTTAAAATCATTCATTGCAAATTTAGTTTGGTCTGGTCATCAAAATATAGAACTAAAGTTTTCATACTGACGTTGGATCTGACATGCTGTTGCTAAAAGAAAGTGATGATAAATCAGGGAAAAATGCAGACAAATTAGAGTTTATTACAGAAGTGTGGGAGCATATTAATGATGTAGCCTGAGTGTAAACATGTATGACCCTTTTCTCTTTATGTCCTTGGATAGGATGCATGCATATCTTTTTATTTTCTGTATACATGTGACCTTCTCTCCATGTTTATGTGTGCGCCCTTGACCACCGCACATCGAGCACAAACACACACACACACACACACACACACACACACACACACACACACACACACACGAGACGACGTGTCTAGAATACGAGCCACAGCATAATGGTAGAAGAAAAGAGATTGCTCCCGTATCCAGGGGCAACGCAGGTAACAGGAGGATAAGCTGCGATGACTGAAGGAAGCCCTGTTCTGCTGCGTTTCAAGAGCCCCGAGACATGCTTGGAGACATTTGCAGCTCTAATAGATTTTTGGAAACCGACTGCGTCATGTTCATAATGAAGAGATTTATTTTCATGACAGATTTATGTAAGGATGGGAGACAGCAGCTACAATGTTTATCAGGAGGATATAATTCCAGTCACATGTTCAAGCTGTTGATTCCACTGATTAGCTCTGCCTGCCTGGTTGGTAGTGCATTAATCAGTGTAATCACCTGATGTGGTGATAATGCTGGAGCTTAAACCAGTTTTTTTTTGGCTCACCTTGATACATCAATACCTCATTAAAACAGTCTTCTGATGACAGCTTCACAGATTTACCTTCACAGATGAAATCTTAATACACTCTTTCTTCCCTGTAGGATTAAATTATGTTCAGCAAAGATTTGGGAACCAGCAGGCCAAAAGTCAAAGTTGTCTTGAGAAATATTTTCTCATGAACTTCATACCACTCAAGTTAGGGTTAGGGAGGTACTGGTTTTAAGATTATCCCCATTTATGCATCAAAGCATTTGGCCATAAGCTTTGTCTGCGTCAAACCATGCTGCAAGTTGGTGCATTTGTAGTCAGTGAATGATGAGAATTTGTAATTTTGATGCAATTAATGGATATGAAACAATATTTTGATTTTTTTCTAGGATATGATTTGCTGTTAATCAATCAGGGTTGATCAAAAGAAGATCGGTCAGTTCCACCCTCTGAACTATTAGTGCATCTCCCATTTTGATTGCCTGCATACCTAATAAAGATGACATGTTCTTCATATTTGACCATGATTTTTTGGAAAAACAGAACACTGTCAAATCCTTTCAGCCAGTATCACATCATCTTCTAGAGCAGGGGTGTCAAACTCAATTTCACTGAGGGCCACTTCAGCATATTGGCCCCCCTCAACGGGCCACATTGACGGTACAAATCAGGAGAGTATCCCTGCTAAAACACACCCAGACAAAAGGTTGACTTCCCTCATTCAGTTCTATAGAGGCTTATAATGAGTCAATGGTCCAGGTGTGTTAGAGAAGGAATCATCTAAAGTTGCAGATGGTAGCTCTGGAAAACTAGACTTGGGCACCATTAGCATAAATGTATGAAAATACAATGTTAAAAATAAATTAAACACCACCTCATACTGTTAAATAACTGATTTTATGTATTGAAGTTTTAAATATTACATTTGAGTTTCAATGGATGTAAAATTGCTGCTCAGTTTAAAAATTACAATATTTAAATCAATGTTTAAATGTAAGCAAACNAAAAAACGCACATTTCATTAAAAAAAAACATCTTAATGCTGTCTTACCTTTATCTAGCAATGAAATCCATGCACCGCTAATTCTGCACAAAAATATCCGTTCATCCAAAGCCAATCTTCGGCATGTCTTTTCTACTCCGTTTGAGAATCATAAAACTGTCTGGAAGCAAAACTTTCAGCTCCGGTGTTGGTCTTCCTTTAGTTATTATCTCCTGCTTCAACTGAAAATCCACTTTAGAAAACTGTTTAAGTGTAGAAATGTAGTCTTTCATGTTGACGTCGGAAGAGAGGAGAAAACAAATATATCGCTGTACTTTACTTATTTACTGTGTGGCTAGCTCCATGCTAGCTCCATGGCTAGCTCACTGTGTCTTACTCTGCAGTTATGGAGTCACTATATCTGGGATCATGAGCGCCCCTAGCGATGAGGCAAGAGAACTGCCTGCCTCACCTCGAGTCTGTTCTCTGCCGTTTCTGATCGCTCCTCCGCACACAAAACACGATACACACACAGTTGGTGACAAAAAACACTGTACATTATATACATAAGCTAAATCACGGAAAATCAGTCCATATATTAAATGTTTTTTAGCCATTTTATTGCCATTTTATTGCTGGCGTACAGACAGGACGAACATGCTCCCATAGGATGGCAGCCAGTACAGTTAGCGAGAGGTTGCGCAATCCCAGGTGAGGCTCAACTCACTGCTGCCTCACCGGCTTCGCTTCTGAGCATTTGAATGGGAAAATGCGAAAATCCAGCGATTTTGAAGAAAAAATCATCAGAATTGGTTAAGCTAAGTAAAAAATAGATACTTTATAGTACAAACCACAGGGTGAAAATAGCAATATAAATGATTTTATTACTATTCTTCCATGATGACAGGTACCTGCCTACCCTGACCGCACATCACTGCTGAAATACTGCCAGACTGGTGACAAGGACTTTCCTGTTTTATCCACTTCTTCTTCTTCTTTTTCTTCTTCTTCTTCTTCTTCTTCTTCTTCTTCTTCTTCTTCGATGTTTTTTGGCGGTTGGCGAATGACGAAAATGGTGCATTACCGCCACCAACTGGTACGCAGTGTGGACCAGAATGTCACTCAAGTATTAAATTATCTTAAATAACTGTTAATTTAAGATGACGAAATATTATCTAATAAATGTAACTTTTGGAACTATTTCCAAATAAATCAACTAATCTAATGTAACTTTAATTCTATTTAATTTATAAGAACTCCTCCAGAGTTCTGGCGCCCCCTAGCGCCGTTTTTGACCCAAATAACTGCGTTTAGGTATCTAAAGTTACGTCATCAAATTCATCATATTTATCAGCATGATCTTTAGTTGTTCCACAGGAATCTGGACCTTTCTTGTCCAGATGAGCCTGAGCTTCCTTGCTCCTTGCCGCAAGGATTGCCCCACCAATCGTCAGGGTAGGCAAGGGATTAGCTCCACAGATTAAAGTGGCCATCTCCAAACCCTGCCTAATCCCGCCATCTGTCAGAGAGCAGCAAACCAGCCAAGACTCTCTTCACTGGGCTAATTAGAAAAGCCAGAAGAGCGCACACCCAAAGAAGGGGGAAAGGAAATCTTCAAACTTTTCTGTTTAATATTCAGCGAGGCGATGGAGGAGACCTACCTTCTCAGCTATCCAGGCGTCAAGAAGAAAATCCTGGCAGGAGGGAAAGGACCTCTGCCTCATTTCCCACCTGGGACAAAGGTATCTTTAAATTCCCCTAATGGTGTTAAATGCTGATAAACTAAATAACAGTTTTTAAGTGGATATTTATAGATGGGTTTTATGCACCTAAATTAGATCTGCTGAATTATTCATAAGGAGGGGAAATTACTCCATATCTGGCTCTCATGGACAAAGCAAACATTTGGTCAACCAAATTGCAACATGTTTTTTTGGCCCACTTCCTGTTCAGCCTCTGATCTGCTGGTCTCCAACTTTCCCCCTCCTTCTCAGTCACCATCCAGCCATATGGCGCTGAGCCTGGATGTTGTGACAAATATTTTCCATGACAATGCCAGCATGAATTTCCATTCACCTGTGTGTGTGTGTGTGTGTGTGTGTGTGTGTGTGTGTGTGTGTGTGTGCCTGTGTTTTTCCACTCTACCCCGGTTTCATACACACCGCTTCTAGACATTTTGTCTATTATTATCACAGGCTATAAATAGAAGGTTAGGACTCAACATAATTTCACAGTGATTTAGTTTTTGTATGTATTTTATAACAAACAGGTGAGAGATCTAATGAAATACTCCAACTCTACACTGTAAAACATCTTAATGTGGTTTAACGAAACCATCTTGAAAACAAAAGTCCACCTGCTGCCTTGAAAATGCAATTTAAGTCGACAAGAAAACTGTTTTGATTTCAACTCAGAAATTAAAGTTAATTAATTTGATTTAACAAGAGACAAGTTGTCTAAACATTATTTAAGTTCATTAATATTAAATTGTGAGTTTTAACTTAATGCTGCAATTTAAACCAAATTATTCATACTAGAAAAATCTGCCCTCACCTAGTTAAAGAGCCACATTTCTATATTATTTTACTAAAAATATCAAATTAAAATAACTACTTTTTTTTTTTAGAATATTTTAAATTCTTGTTTAAAATTGCATGAAGAAAATTCCTGATCTAATAATGAATTTTGTTAAACATCACAATGAATTCTGATCTAAAGCATTTAATGTGATCAGGACATTATTCTCAAGCTTTAATTTAAACATTTTCTTTAACAAAACCGTCAGATCAATGTAACGCACTTCCATCTCAGGATACAGAAACATGCCGCTAAGCATTCTGGGAAATAACTCCCACTCCTGTCTTTTTCTTCTTTCAGTTTTTTTAAATGCTAACCTAAAAACTCTAGCTTGTTCTTGGACAACTTACTACTACTGTAAGTTTATCTTTCACAAACTCACATTTAGGTTCAAAATCTAAAACTGGTTAAATTTATATGACTTAAAGAGTAGAAGATAGTAGACACAACGAAATGTTTTCAGTGTATGTTGCATAATAAGTGTCTGGAATTCAGTATGAAGTGTTTTTAAATAGTAGAGCCACTAAAGCGCTCACCACCAGGGCAATTTAAATTAAAAATGCTTATATATTCAAAGGAAAACTGGCAGCTTGGAACGACAGAAGTGATAGAATAATAGGAGGAACAATGAGAAATAATCAGGAAAAAATTAGAGAGCGCGACGTCAGAAATACATTTCTGTATTTTCCCCGCTGTACGTCTCAGGTGATCTTCCATTTCCAAACCCTGCTGGACAACTTTGAGCGAACGGTCGTCGATGACAGCAGACTGGCCGGCAGACCGGCTGAGATCTTTGTCGGAAAGATGTTCAAGATGGAAATCTGGGAGTCCTTGCTGACGTCCATGCGGGTCGGAGAGGTGGCAGAGTTCTGGTGTGACGCTGTTGTGAGTCCTGGAGGTTAAACTCATGGAGCATACGAATGTGTTTTATTTCAGCCCTCTGATGTCAGTGGTTTTGTTTATGTGTAATTTGCTTCAGCACACAGGCTTGTATCCCATTGTGTCGAAGGGAATGAGGCTGATTGCCCAAGGGAAGGACCCCCTGGAGGGCCAGAAACACATGTGTGGCATGGGGAACCTGTTCCACTATCACTCCACTGGCTTCCCGGAGCTCGACGAGATAATGCGAAATCCTCAGCCACTCATATTCATCATGGAGTTGCTGCAGGTAAGCTACAGAGTTTTATTAGATGATTTAAAGATTATTAGCCCCACAGCAGGCTCAAGTTCACATAAGAAGCTGCTTTATGCCTCCAAGCCAGCAGGGGGCGCACAAAAACTCTATAACATCTGTCATAAATACCTTATAAGAGCAGAAAGAATGAATTTCAGGTATAATATTTTGGTAAAAGTTTTACAAGTCTTGGACTAAATCTGGTTAACACAAAGTGCAAAATACAAGAAAAAACAAAGAATTGAGATACAACTTGAAAACAAAAAGAACTTGGTTTAAACAAACAGAAATGCATTTGTGATACTTATTCAAAAATCTTATATTCAGTGGTATGTATAGAGATGCTTTTTATTTTATTTTCATGTTTTAAATAGTTTAATATTTGCTGTTTCTGACAGAAACTAGCTGTTTTGTTATAGACGTAAATAATAGTAGAAATGGTCAAATCTCATGTGCAAGGCAATGTACATTATTATCTATTATCTATTCCATTTTGAGTGATTTTTATTGTTCTACATAAGCAGAGTATTCACCCATAACTCATTTTCATAAGAAAACAGAGTATAAATGACCAGCACCTGTTTTGACTCTGTATAATGGTTATGTTTTCCTGAAGATATGTTGTGTTTTTGTTTGAAGGTTGGCCCCTCAGGGCTTCTGTAGAATAAAAGCAAAGAAAAAAACCATCAGATGTCCTTCCTCTTTATGCAACAACACCACATGGATAAAAAAAAAATAAACATTTACAATGCACTGAGAGCACAGACAAAAAAACCTGTTTCTGTCTGCAAACATTCAACTTTGAAGAGATAAATAAGCTGAATCTCATCAGGGACTTTGATGCTTCAAGACATAAAATCTATATTTTCTCTTCTTTTGATGCTTTTTTCTTAGGGAAAACTTAAGATCTCTGACTTAAGTCGTGTAGCCTCAACATAAAAGTTCAAGCAGGAAATTATTTAGCTTTTGTGCTCTTCAAAACGCAAACCTCAACCTGCAGAATATTTAAGCAGTAAAAAGCCCTTCGAAACACTATATAAACTGCAAGAACGGATCCATTAAAATTTCCTTTAAACTTAATAGTGATTACACCATAGAACCACCAAGTGGCATTTGAAGTAAAGTAGCTTCGATTTCAAAGAAGCCTACATTGAAGTCGATTGGCAAATGAACCATCACAAAAGAGGAAGGCTCTTGTTGTCTCACTGCACCCCAAGAGATGCATAACCTACAAAAACCATTTCTGTCTGGTTTTGAACCAGAGACCATTTGTGTGTAAAGCAAACATGATAACCACTACACTACAGGAACTGAACTTCTCTGCTTTGTTTCAGTTTGAGGTTCCAAAGTTGATGATGTGAGATGCAACACATGAAAATTTCAACTGAGGTTTGCACTCAGATGCCTGGATTCAGAGTACAGACCATGACACCTCAGAGCCCTTGTTGACCTTTAGTAAACACCTGTGATGAATAGAACATGCAAAATCTGTTTCTGTCTGGTTTCGAACCAGAGACCTTTTGCGTGTAAAGCAAACGTGATAACCACTACACTACAGGAACTGAACTTCTCTGCTCTGTTTCAGTTTGAGGTTACAAAGTTGATGATGTGAGATGCAACGCATGAAAATTTCAACCGAGGTTTGCACTCAGATGCCTGGATTCAGAGTACAGACCATGACACCACAGAGTAAACACCTGTGATGAATAGAACATACTAAATCTGTTTCTGTCTGGTTTTGAACCAGCGACCTTTTGCGTGTGAAGCAAATGTGATAACCACTACACTACAGAAACGGTGCTGAAGTTCCTGATAGATGATCCAAATTTTGTGAGAGACTAACGTCAACAATGGGCATGGAACAATGTCAAATACTTACAGATCCTCTCAGAGAGCACAGTAACTCGGTGAACAAACTGTCAGACTTATAATTGTACTTAATTTAAC